CATATTTGTGAATATTTTACATAAAAAAATATATCGATTAATTTATTAAATATTCAATGTAATTTGTTGTTATGTTATAATTTATAACACAAGATTTTTTTGAGAAAAAAAGGTTCCCATTTAAAAAATATAAATTTAAAATTATATAATCTTGATGAGATGAAAAAAAACTATTTAACTACGTGTTACTGTAGAGTTTTTCTAACTAAATACGTGTTCTCTTTACCAAAATGTAAAATTCTCAATAGTTTCTAAGAAGATGAGCATCTAAACAATTTTGGATCACCCCTGTATACCAAGATAGAACAATTTTTTACATTGAAAAATAATAGCAGAAATTCATAATTCAAGTAGAAATATATTTTGAAGGTAATATATTATAATGAGAGAATATTTTTAACATATTCCACTGATTTTTAAAAGAACATTATTTGGAATCCTTGTTTTAAATATCAGAAATTGTTTTATAAAGGAAAAATGAATCAGTATATAACTTATCAAACTAATAATAACAAAATAATGGGTTTAAATATAAATATTGAGGGGTCTAAATTTACTTTTCCCCACTCTAAATATATGAATCAATACATATATATATATATATATATATATTGTTTAGTAATAATACTAGTTATCCCGAAAAAATTCAATTCTTAATATGAATTAATTCTTAAACTGGACTAAATGCCTTAATTGTGCTTGTGACTTTATCAGGATTAAATTTAGAGGACCAGAAAAGGCAAGCATACCGGAAACCATAAACTCTAAAGGTCCATTTTGAATTTTATTGGTCTGCTAATATAAATTTTAAGTAGAAAATATTTTTGACAAAAGCAATATTTTCTTAAAATGAGGACTAATATAATTTTTTATCCGGCACAGGCAGAAAGAACAGCAAAAACATAATATTTTTAAACCCTATAAAATAATATTTGATAATCATCTGAATTTAACTATAAGTGTATGGTTAGTGTGGATTTATTTTTGCAGTACACACACTTTATCATTGGTAAACTACGTAAGGTTTTTAAATTATTAAAAAAGATTATAACATTTCTTTAGAAAGAGATGGCATTACACTTAAGAACCCTTTGATAATGTGTATCCCTATCTCTACAATTATGTTAATTAAATTAACGTTTGCAAATATTATCTTTCTCGACTTATTGAAGGTTTATAAGAAAGAAAGTCATTAGCATCGTTCTCTTTTTAATAAGTACATTAAAAAATATCGCCACCCCTCAATTTTTGCTAAAATTATACCAATGCTTAAAATTAATAAACAAAAAAATTGTTTAGTGAATTTACTTTACAATACATAAGAATAAATAACACGACGTATTTTATGTACGATCATTTTAATATTACGACTATTTTTGTATAATTTTTCAATAAAATTATATTTAATTTATCCAATTTTTAAAACATCTTAACTCGTATTTGTTACCAATTGAGTTACTATTAATTATTCTAAATAATATTACCTAACTGGTACTTAAAAAATATATTTACAATGTTGTATGATTTGCGGTTGATACTTAGCCGTAGGCGATTCAAGTGCAGTTCAAATACGCAGTGCGCGCACATGTAGTGAAACTGCACCTAATTACGTATGTTGCAATATCTAAGTAGTGAGTACATAGATACTAAGCCATCTATTAGTTTATTCCCACTCTCTTTTATTATTCCCCACTCTCTAACTGAACATCTAATATGAATCACGATGCAAATTTATCTGATTATCAAAACGTACCAAAAATAATTATATTTTTAACACCGCTCTAAAGAATTTGTTGTGCTATTTATTATTAATTAATATTATCTAAGTTATTAAATAATTATCAAATCAATGGTAAAATCTTGTTAAATAACAAAAATTATAACTATAATTATTGAATAGCTTAATAAAATAATTAATTTGATAATAATTATCAAGTTATTAATTTAAGTGATTACTTAGCATCGAATTATTCAGTATTTAATAATACACTAGCTATTAAAAATATAATATTTACGATAAACGTCGCTTACGTTAGAGGTTATTATCTACTTTAAAGATATCTGTAAAATTCTGTGTTAAAAAAAAATGTACCAAAATTATTATGACTAACACAAATTTCAATGAATAATGTGAATAATACTGCAGCGTAGGAGTGTTTTTATTATGAATTGTGGACATTATTTGTATGTTATACTTATCAACGAACCTACGCTATAATGCTTCATAGATCTTTTTAAGAACCAAGTGATTTTTAAATATCTTATTTTTATTATGATATATATATATATATATATATTTAATTTGAAGAAAGTTATTTAAAAATATTTATAATATAATATGATTAATATAATTTTAAAAATATGATTTTCTTAGAAAACTGTGCCAATAAAAATATATAAAAAACTTCGTTAAAAGTAACATTTTACTCCTAATTTTGGTATTGGAGAACTTCATAAAAAAAAATTATTGATAAAAATAACATTTTAAGTAAATTGTTCGTTACAAACTGTTGAGGTTTTTTCAAAGATATTTAACTATCTTAATAATTAATTAGTAATTATTACTAATATCATTTAATTATTATATACAAGGTGATTCTTTTAGGAGCTCTCAAAGAATATGAAAGAATAATGTGAAATACCGAGGGAAATTTAAATGATATGTTAAATAGTGAAATAGAATTGCCGCTTGTATAAAGAATACCACAAAGATGTCGATAAAAGTAGGAATGGAATACCAGATAATAAAGAAACGTGTTGATGGGATGAAGAAGTCCAGAGAATTATAACAAGTAGCAAAAGGCAATTTAAAGTATGACAGAAGAACAAAAGGATAGATGATTAGACAGAGTACAATAGTTAGTATAAAGTAGCAAAAGTTGCAGTCAGTAACCCTGTGTAGAGCTATGATAAGTTATACCATAAGACAATAAAAAAAATTATAGATTGAAAAAAGTTAGAAAAAAACGATCCAAAGATTTTTAAAATGTATAGTATTTAAAAATGATCACCAAAAGTTGTTAACAAATGTTGAACATGTAAAAGAGATGAAGAGTATTTTGAAAAATTACTAAATGAGGAGTAACTGAGAGATGTTTTAGAAAATATTTCGTGATACGAAGGTCTAATCGATTTAATTAGTGAGGAGGTATTATGGGTGGTTGTGAGATCTACAAAAAAAAAAGTATTAGGACCTGATGAAGTGCCAGTGGAAGTGTTGAAAATTTTAGGGGATTAAAGTAAAAGGCCGTTGGAAGGTCTTTTTAGTAAAATCTTAATAGAATGGAAGATGATAAAAGAGTGGAAGAAATTTTTGTGGTACCCACATTTAAAGGCAAAAGAGACATACAAGAATGTAGAAATAAAATAGAGAATAAGAAGTGAGACATCCGTAACTAAAAATCAGTTTTGTTTTTTATCTGGATAGTTAACAATGGAGCCATTATTTTGTATAAGATAATTAATAGAAAAATATAAATAAAAGAAGAATGAACTTTGTATAGTATTCATAGATTTGAAGAAGACATATGAAAGAGTGCTGAGAGAGATTTTAAAGCGGACGTTATTGAGAATAGTCACTTATACGAGAGTACAAAGTGTGTGAAGAAATAGAGGATTCAAGGTAAAAGTAGGTGTGCACCAAATACAAGAAAAAGTAACGTGGTGCATGTTATTTGCTGATGATATAGTGTTAATAAGAAATAACGAGGAGGAAGTTAACCAAAGGCTTGAGATGTGAAGATTAACCATTGAATGATTATTAGAAGTTAAACGGAATACATAGAGTATACGTTTGACGAAAGAGAACATAAGATAAAACAAAGAGAGTAATGACAATAATCGAGGACATGTTAGGCGAGGTCGAAAATTTTTACTATTTTGGATCATTTGTACAAAAGAACAATGGTATTGATGAAAATATGAGACATAGAATTAAGTGAAGAAGAGCGTCTGGTGTTTTGTATGGTAATATGCTCCTGTATTACTAGTGGCGTCAACCGTGAATATGGTAAGAGAAAATAGTCTATTTTCTTTCATCCTTAGATGGTTTGGTCATTTTATTAGAAGAGAGAAATCGAAAACTATAATAACGTTTATGGAAATGAACGTTGAAAGAAGATGACAAAGAGGAAGATCAAAAAAGAGATGAAAAAGAAGTAAAAATTGATATACAATTTATACTGTATTTTTAAGTTAGTACTGATATAATTTAAAAAATATATGTACAGGAGTTTTTAACTTAGGAAAATAAAAAATAATAATTTCACAGTTCCATTTTTGTACTTATAATAAGGGTAGGAGATTATGTCAAGTGGAGGTTAATATACCAGTGGACGACTCCAATTAGTTGGGAAAATGCGAGAGAAGAAAATTCAAGGTAATTTTTAAATACAAATAACTAGATTTCTCTTGTAAAAATAATGCTAAGAAAATTATTTTTGGTATTTTTAAGGTTAAAAAGTAATATATTACTTGATTTATCAGAAGTGTTTTGCTATTTTAATTTAAACTTTATACCTTATAAGAGTGTAAGAATCATTTTTTTTTAAATGGCAACATATAATTTTAACTTGTTCAGAAAATAGTCTAATTAAAAAAATTACAACTTTTGGACCAATAATTCGGAAGTTTTTACCAATTTGAAATATAGACTGAAGGTAAAGTGTGGGTATAACAATATTTATCATTACATATTTCTCAGATGTATTCATGCTTGGGTATAAAAATGTTAATAACTGTCAAAGTACTGGTCAAACAGTAGTTATCGACCAGTTATTTTCTTAATTAGATCGTTTTTATTTTATAAACTAGTTAAATATACATAATATTGCCATATAAATAAATAAATTTGACATCCTCTTAAAAATAATCTATTTTAGGGATTTTAAACATTAAATTATCAATATTGAAATATAATTAACCTATACCTATTTTTAAGTAAATTAAACATTTAAAGGATTTGACTTATTAATACCTAAAAGAAAGAATATACACAAATATATAATTAGAAATAGGTAGTCCACAGTCTTATTCTTTTTATACAAACTCATATAGTTAATTAAAGCATCAAAATTTTGGTATTGGAACAAAATAACCAATATAATACAAAATAATTATTTTATGATAGTAAAATAATAATATACACTTAATAAATACTAACAAAAAAGTGTAAATAAATGATATTCATTTTTTTATATATAAAAAAAAAATAAATACTAATTATTTGTGTTAAAAAATATAACATCATCAGCAGCTACTGATGCAGTCGTTCTAGTATTTCCAGAGTCGTCTTTAAGTTCTCCATACATAAGACGTCCACTCACATAAACACGCTGTCCTTTTTGCAAGTAATTATAAACAGAATCTCGCAAACCAGGCTTAAAAACAACTACACGATGCCATTCAGTTTTTTGAGTATTTTCTAAAAATTAATTTAACTTTATTAAGTTATACCCGAATATGTTTTAGTATAATGATAATTACCATTATTTTGAATATAATTTTGATGAGTAGCTAGGGAAAACACAACAACAGGATGATCTTCAGATCCCCGTTTTTGAGGCTCAGCACCAACTCTTCCCAGTAGTGTTACACTATTTAATGCTTTGAAATAAAAATAAAATAATTTTTTCAACATTTTAATGTTACAATATATTAAATGACATTACAAATATATATAATTAAATAATAATGATAAAAAAAATAAATATATGCATAAAAAGATAAAATTAGTATAAAAATGATAGGTGTCTAACAATAAAAATGTATATTAGATACTTGTAATAAATAACATGTAACATTTCACAGTCCTGTTATATCTTCATATCTAAGTAATATTAGCTGAGGTAAAAACTCATTCATTCACTTATATCTTAAGTATTGGGGAAAAAAAATTATATAAAAAAGTTTACTTTTTTCTATTTTGAGAGGCATTGGTGATTCTTGAGTATAATTATTCTTTGTGTGTAACTTTGGAATTTGCATTTTCTTGCAAACATTCAAAATGCTCTAGAAAAATTACAAAAAAAATCATTTTAATTAAGTTCAACTTCTTAGATAATCATTAATTTTGGAAATTTAATTTTTATAGTAAAAAATTAAATTTCCATTTCAGTGTTATAACCCTGGATTAAAATTATTTAAAAATAAATACATGCTAAAATCATTTTTTCATAAATTTATATTTTACTGACAATAGAAAAAAGTTGTATACATAAATAGTTAAAATAAATTTACATAGTGATTCATATTATGAACCACTTAAATAATCGAATAATTTAAGTAATATTGATAATTTTTTTTATTGGTTTCTATTACTTACTTATTTTTCTCAATTTATCAATCACAAATTATATTTATATTCATCACTTATATCTTAGAAAGTTATAAATATCAGTTTTACATCTTTCTATTTTCTGAAGTTAACATGCACTACATAAGAAGCCAAAAATGTTAGGGAGTCGAAGATGATTCTTGGCTAAGCCAATGATAGTCAAGAAGGGTATTAAGGTTAGCTTACATCAGAGACCATACTACCAATGAAAATATCATAAGAAAAATCTTGTAGGCACTCTGGAGATCAAGCCCATTCCCATTTGAAAAATAAAGTTGACACCTCTATAAGATATAATGAATGAATATAAATAATACTTTATGATTAAGAAAAATATGTAACTAAAAGAAGCCAAGAAAAAACATTATCAATAATACTTAATTTTTCAATTAATTAAATGGTTTATAATATGAGAATCACCCTGTATGTATGCATTCATATAATGAATGGAAGTATCAAACAAATTAATTATTTTCAATTTTAATAGTTAATCAAACTACTTTAAAGTATTACCTTATTATAAGTGTAGTTTTTAACTTTATTATACTATTTATTGTTTTCATCACTTTATGTTTGTAATTTTTGATTAACTAAGTTTATTATAATAACAATAAATCAATGTAATCCTGTAACCTCATGGATATACAATATAGAAGCAACATAATTTTAATTGTCTATGTAGTTTTTAGTGGTTTGCACACAATCATATGTGGTTGACTCATTAGCAATGCTATTCTGATATAAAAATATTAGTTTACCTATTTTTTTTCTCATAATGTGAAAAAAATATGGATGCAAAAATTTTGATTGTAACTAATCAAATGAAATTTTGTATAGTGTTTTTATTTATTACAAACTTCAATATACTACTCTAGTCATTTTAATATTAACTTTTATAATATATTACATAATATTTTGTAGATACACAAAGTGTTATTAATACTGACTTATTATGAAAATTATACCTTAGACTTCAACATTTTGGCGAATGATTTTCAAAATATTTAATTTCAGTTTAATATTATATATGAATGCAAAGAACTGAAAAATAAATGATTCAGAATGAGAAATCAAAATAATAATTGATTTATAATTAAGTGTTTTTTTTATATCAATTTGACATAGAAAATCAACATACGAACATCAAATACAAATATATTAAAAAAAGCCAGTAAATTACCTTTTTTTATTTTATAAATACTTGTAATCTACTGACAAAAAAACTAATAACCATTATACATTATTAAATGTTGATTATAAAGATAGTGAAGGCGGCAAAAATCAAAATTATTACTGTAGTAGTTGCATGGTACGTTATCAATATTAATCAGATATTTTAACTGATAGTTTTATTATAGGTTATAAAACTATTTGACATACAAATTAAAAAAAAGTGTAGTACGGTTCAAAAATATGTTTTAATTACATATTAAAACACAGAATTTTATGTTTGTTAAAAGAGATATTTATGATTCACTGTAAAATATAGAGGTCACTCATATTAAGTGAAATACATTTTTATTGAATTAGGGGAATATATTTGATAGTCCATATTGATGAATAAAATCTTTTTTATTAATATATAGAAAAAAATTAATTGAAATCTTACATTAATTTTATAAAATTATTTTATACATAATTCCAAGTATTTGTAATAAGTCATTATATTTATTATTATATGCGAATATCATTTCAATTAAACGCAAACGCAACCATTCGTTTTAAGATATCTGACAGCTGTTAAATTGATTGAGCATGAGGCGGTACAATCAGAAACTAGTAATTTTACACCATAAGAAGTAGTTTTGATATTTCGCCAAAAAGAACCGGTTGTCCCTATTGTCCGTTGTCGGTTAAATTTAATTTCTCATTTTTATAAATATAAGATTTTCAGAATGCATTCTAAGTGTGCTTAGGTAATTATACTCTACTTTTTACCATCACGTTATCATTTATTTGTTACTATTTATTGAAATTTCATTTTTTGGCCTTGAATTAAATTAAGTATTGCCTCTGAGTATTTGTTGCGTTCATTTCATTATTTAGCCATTGTAATATATATAACCTTAGTATTTTAAATTTATAGAATTAATAATCCTTATTAAGAATATTTCAATAGTGAAAATAATTTAGATTTGTAAATCATTTTATTTGACTGGAACTTAGGATAAATATAGTTGCCTATTTATTTATTCATAAACAAAATATTTCCCATGTGAAGAACCTATTTTTCCATGCTAATTTGTGTACAATTTTCATTATTACTATAATTAATTTTTTAATTCTAGTAATTTTTTTCTTGTGCATTTTATTTCAATTGTCTTTTTAACTTATTATTGCATATTTGTATTCATAAGCATAATTTTTACTCATCTAAATACAATAAATATAATGAAAGTGTTCTTCACAATATTTTTAAAAAATATAAATATTAAGTTTTTAAAATAATGACTTTTTTAGTCATAAGTAAATTATTAAAAAAAAAAAACTATATTGAATATGATATAATATTCTTCAAAAATTATTTTTATTTAGTCAAATTAATTCTTAACCAAATATTGTATTAATTTTTTTTCAGTGAATATCTTGGGATTGAGTTCATTTTAATTATAAATATTACCATGGGAATTATTGAAGAATTAGTAAGTAAATAATTATTTTGATTTGAAATACAAATTAACCTATCAAATTTGTATTTTGTAATAAGTATAAATGTACTTTATTTCTAATTATAAAAGTATAATTGTTTGTTTTAAAATTGTTGTAGTAACAATACAATTAAGATTTTTCCAAATTCTTTTAAAAAAAATTCACAATTCTTACAACTGAAGAAGTGGTATTTGTTATTTTTGGCACAGTAAATCAAAATTTCATACTTTTATTCTAGTTAGCTAGATTTTATATTTTATTTATATTAGAAAAATTAAATATTTCAATATAATTTTATTTAAGATTTTGCCGCCATTTTAAAGAATTTAATATTTTAATTTTCTTCCATGATAATATTGATAAATTTTTACCCTCATAACCTAACCTTGAACAATTTAAATGTAACTTAAAAACTTGACCATGTTTTCAAAGTAATGCTTTTAAAAGTTTTAATTACCTTATGCAATATTTAAAAAAATGAGCTCTTTTTCTATCAAAAACTTTATTTCTACTACATTTTCTGTAAGTACTTATGTTACTTTGTTTTTACTTTATATTAATTGAATTTTATTAGTTTGTTTTTAACATTTATACAATTAATTTTTTTATCAAGTAATTACATTTATTTAATACATTTATAATATTTGAATTATAAATTATTTCAATGCAAATTAATGTGTGTACTAATCTCTTTTTTCTGATATCACAAAATAATACAATTATTAAGTAACCTTGGAAGATTTTGGTGAAAGTATTCCTTTTAGGAAATTGGTTATGTTCTTCTGAAAAAAATAACTATAATTTAACGACTATGGATAAAGTTTAATTTACAAAATTGTATTTCTATATAAAATTTATATTAAGCAATGGATAATTCTAAATAAATTTATTTTGATTGTTAATGATATTTTATTTTTATTAGAGTGTATCTTCTGTGTTAGTTGGACTAGGAATAGTTGTCACAACAGGTTTTGCTATCTCAGCCCTTGTAGCAAATTATCAAAAGAAAAATGAAAAGAAACGAACATTAGTAGATGCTAATACTAAAATTCCTTTACCCTTAATTCAAAAACATATAATTAGTCATGATACACGTAGATTCAGATTTGAGCTACCATCAAAAAAACATGTTCTTGGTAAGTAAAAAATATAATGTAACTATGATTATGGAATTTAAGTTAGATGTTTAATTTATATTCTAAAATATTCATATTAAGGTTATTTAGAGTTATTAGATTGTAAATTATTTTTAAGTTTGATGATTTTTTTTCTTCAAAGGTTTACCAGTTGGACAACATATTCATTTATCAGCAAGAATTAATGAGGAATTAGTAGCACGAGCTTATACACCTGTCAGTAGTGACAGTGATGATGGTTATATGGATTTAGTTATTAAAGTAAAATAAAGTCTTAATTATAATGCTTCGAAATAAACAATACATTTTTTAGGTATACTTTAAAGATCAAAACCCTAAATTTCCCGAAGGTGGAAAATTAACACAGTATTTAGAAAAAATGGAAATAGGTGACACAATTGATGTTCGTGGTCCATCTGGTCGTCTTATATATCATGGTCGTGGTGACTTTGAAATTAAAGCTGTAAAACGGAGTGATCCTTCTCATAATCTATTTGCAAAAAAACTTGCCATGATTGCAGGTAGGAAAATAAATTATCAAATTTTTAATTTCAATATAGCAAAAAACTAATTATAACTTATTTGTTAAATTTTAGGTGGTACTGGAATTACACCCATGTTACAACTGATTAGACAAATAACTAGAGATCCAAAAGATGAAACTCAAGTATCTCTTCTTTTTGCCAATCAGACAGAAGAGGATATTTTGCTAAGAGAGGAATTAGAGGAAGCTGCTAATAATTTTCCAAACCAAGTTAAAGTGTGGTATACTGTAGACCGGCCTTCAGAAGGTAATATATATTAAAAAGTATTTTTGAAAATATCTAATAAAAAACAGCTTAACACTACTTCCTTATACATTTGTTTACCAAAATTGGCTACTTAATTCAAAATTTTTACCTTGTAAAATTGAGTTTACAGTTTTTAGTGTATTTAGCTACCATAGATTTGTCAACTTTTTAGTAGTCTACTTCTTTTTCTTGTTTATTATAGTTGCAATTGCCTGTTTGTCCAATTTATGACTTGTCATATGAACTCAGTATTTCATAGACACCTGATATTTTTTGAAATTCGTTTTTCAGTCTTCAAAGTAAAGTTACTAGGGCTATGGAAAATTTAAAGACACTTTTTATTTTGAATTTATTAGTGATTCTTGAAATACAGTTTGTAATTTATTGTATGTATGGCAATATTAGAGTTCCTATCTTATTGTCTTTCATTTTCATCTTTATAGTTATTACACTTTTTCTTTTTATAACTTTTGTTAATACTTCGTTTGTTTTTTATACTTCAAGAAATTTAATATATATTAACAATCTGAAACTCGTGAAAACAAATATATCCAGTATTATTAAAGATAGTTCTTAGCTTTTAATGACTCCATTAGTTAACTTATAGCATAAATTAGATTAATAATATTTTTTCAACAGTATTAACTATATTATTTATACTGATGACTAGTTCAATTATCGTATTATTTTTTAATAGGTTGTCTATTAAATAATTTTTTCATTTCTTATAAGATTATACGAAATGATTATGATAAAATAAGATAATTATGGAGTATTATTTTATTGTAATTTTTTTTTAGGTTGGAAATATAGTGTTGGTTTTGTTTCGTCTGATATGATATCAGAACATTTATATCCTCCATCACATGACACACTAGTATTGATGTGTGGACCTCCACCTATGATCAATTTTGCATGCAACCCTAATCTTGATAAACTTGGTTATGAACCAAAACAACGGTTTGCTTACTAAACTTATTGTTTTTCTTTACACTCAACTGTTTAAACAGTAAAATGTTTATAATACAAAATGTTAAGTCTTTATAAATATTGCATTTTAAAAAGCTTTCATAAACATATAGTGATAAATTAAAATTATTTCTTAATGTTACTAATATATATACATTGTATTTTTCCTCTAAAAAGTAATGTTATTATTTTAGTTAAGTTCAGATAATTGTAATCTGATGTTATGTTTGTATGACTTAAATTTTAGGAACCATATCTTTAACTTTTTATTCTTTCTTGCCATTTTCTATTTGAACAAATTATGTAAATTTAATTCAATAAAAAAAGTGTATCTTGTCAAAAATAAAATTTTAAATATGTTATGTAATATAATTTATTTAGAACTCTTATGTTATTCACCCTATTTTAAATAAAATATTGGACATAAATTTAGTTGGAAGTACTGTGTCTACATGTGTTTAATCTTGACCTTTACCCTGTGTTCAAACAAGCTATATTATTCTTTGTAATTAACTTAATCAAAATTACTCTGTGTATAAGAAAGTTGAATACATACTTTTTTTCATAAACTAATTATCTATTTGGTCTAAAAAGTTAATAGCTGATTTTATAACCTTGGTTTGCAATATCTTCAGTAGAGCAATATAAGATTTTTGGAGAAAATGTAAGAATTGGACGGAATATAAGCTGATAAAAAAACAATTAGATTAATAATATAGGCTTTCATAGGTTAATAGAAGTAATCTTATATTTTTGATATAATGAATCTTTGGTTCATGTAATCTCAAGTCCCAATGAAATACATTTTTAAGAACTAGAGGTTATATTAATTAATGTACTAAGTATATTATTAGTAATTAGTACAACTAACTACATTATTTAATTTTATTAACTAAAAAATGAAGCATAAGGACTCCCTTTTATTCAATTATTATTAGCAAAATATTTTCTTCCATGGTATTACAACAAATTAATATTAAAATAGTATATCTTATTTGTTTTATTAATTTTTATAAAAAAATTCTTATAATTAATATTATGCATAATTATAAGTATTAATTCAATTACATTTATTTTTAATTAATAACATATAGATGTTAATAAAAAAAAAATGATTAGTGAGTTTTACCTTCAAAAAACAAAATAATTTATAAACAAAACTGGAAAATAAATTTTAATCAATTTGATACATGGCCATAAAAAAATTATCTTAAAATAACTCAAATACACAGATAAGAATACTTATAAAAATGAACATTAAAAAAAAAACATTTTAACATTTCATGTGAAAAAATACATACTAGTCAACAACATGATAACACTGAATACTTGGACAAATAATTTTAATCATAGAATAAATATAACTTGTATACATTTAATTAGTTTCATATTAAAAAAAAATTAAATAATAACATTAACTTTTTTGATATATAAACAATGTTTTAATTAAAAACTTACATTAAAAGTTAAAATTTACATGATAACATGAGATAAATAATATTGAGGAAATTTAAAAATAAGAAACTTTAGGGGCAGACAAAAATCCTGGTCTTGTCGATGGAGGAATCCTAGAATTTATTTTCAAAGTAGAGGTTGTAGTTACTTTAGAACTTTTTGTTGCTGAACTTGATGAAGAACCATTACTTTTCTTTTTTGGGCTAAAAGGTATAATAAAAATAAAAATTTCACTCAATATTTATATAAATGACATATGAAAGGATAATAATAGAAGATGCTACTGACTCGACTTTAAATAAAATTTCACTGAAATAATGATGTTCTAATAATATTAATATTATTTAAATTTTATTAGAAAATCTAAGATTTCGGTTTATAAGCTTAAAAATTACTTTTTGAATACTCTTAAAGTAAATTTAATTTACTCTAAGAGTATTTAGTATTTCATAATACAATGAATAAATGTGAAAGGAAGGTTTAAAAGTTAATGAGCGCTAAGCTAGTTTTTGTATTTTTTTTCTTAATTCACACTATTTTTATAGTAAACAGAATTGTGACTGGTGTAATGAAAAAAGGATATGGGTATTATATCATTAAAGTCAAAATTATCTATATGGTAAAGATACAATTTTTTTCGTTTAGAAGAGTAGGTAAAATTTGATAAATGTATATGTCCATCAGGACGAAACCCTAATTACGCCACTGTGATTTTTAGTCAACTGCAAATGTTCATTCTGTTGAAGAATTAATCACCTTAAGAAAATAAGAAAATTATACTTGTAGATAGATAAAAATATTTTTGGACGGAGAAAAATAAATTTAGCATCTCCAAAAATTTGTATTCTTATTGCACTTTAGCTTGTAGTAGACTACTCATTAAAAAATAACTTCACATTCATCAAAAACTATTTATAACCCGTTACAAAAAGTACTGCATAAATATAAGGAGTTTTTCGTTAAATAAAAATAATTTTCGATTGATAATCCAATAAAATTACGAATAACTGTTACTTTATGAACATCGTAAGTTTTTGACGAATTTATTAAATTCAAAAACTAGGTCTAAGAATTAGGCTATGTCGGATAAAAACTATTTTTTAATTATTATATATTTACTGAGATTAGTATAATTTTATTTCACAAATCATGTAATAGGTAAATTGCATTATAAGAATGAAAAATTGAGATAGATTGTAATAGCAGCCGTTTATTTTAACTATAATCATTATCAATAAAATATTACTGCGTTACATTCATAATCCTTTGAATATAAGACCATCGATATAATCAAATTTTAAAACTTTGTAAGGACTCTATATTATCTTCTACCAGTACATTTAAGTGTGGTTAATTGAAAGAAATGCTGTCAAAGTTTGACAATATAATCAAATATTTTTTAATCAATAACTAATTAGCCAATATGATCAATTTTAAACAGCGAAAAATATTTTAAAGAAAACTTTTCGTTTTTCAATTGATTTAAAGGGAAAATTGTTAGTTAACCTCATAGTACAATATCTTAGCCTTATTTGTAATTATACAACTTTTCATAATCATAGTGATGGAATATGAATTGAATTTTTATTTTTATAAGGTTTTTTTTGCGCATCAATATTAAAACATCTGAATAAAAATATTGTTTTCGACATGAGCATGTTAACCGTCAACTGACATTCAAAGTTCAATAGTTCATTTTGTAAGTACAAATTAACAGTAGATTAATTATAATGATTAATATAATATGAAAAGTTATCTGAATTGTTATACTATAAATTTGACTGAAAATACTTAATTTATGATTGATAATAATAAAATTCAATAAAAATACCTACGGTTAAATTTTCTTTTTTTCAATTGCCAAAGACTTTATTATTTACACAATACATTAATATTAATAAATATCGGTTACAACCAATTATATATTAAACATATAATATTATATAGAATTAATAGAAAGTAACTCGTATGGAGTTACGCTTCCAGTGAGGTAGCTCCTAGGCGCAATAAAAAAAAAATCTTAAATGTAAAATAATGTGATTAGAAAAATGTTTAATAAATATTTATAGATATAGATTTATTATATTGGAAAATAAATTAGTTTCGAAATTAAAATGTACAATAAATTAAACTACTTATGTATCAAAGGTATATACGAGTAACTACATTATTGATTATTAATTGAAGGTACTGGTGCAATAACCAGATACTGCCACTTTTAAAAACTATCCAAAAAGCGTAAAAAAAAATGTTTTCATGTTAAAAATCAGAAAAAATTAAATTATTATTTACACTCTATAGCGAATTGCATTAGTTAACAACGAAATTGACCTATGCATCTGATAATTTTATATGTAAAAATTATTTGCCATTAACGAAAATTAAGTCGAAAATTCTAAAAGTATACTGGTTTTTGAATAATTAACGAGTTATGTGTCCCTTAAAAAAAATTTCAATTATATTAAGAATAACAATGGTGATGACAAACTGCGTGTTAGATTCACTGATTTAAATTTTTTTTTTGTTACATAAAATTAAAGAACATTTAAAATTTTTCTACAACTTTTGTCTTAAAATTTTTTTTACTATTTACTATTAATGAAATTTCTACATAAAATATACCAATTATAAAATTAATTTATCACCAATTAAAAATTTTTTTTTTTTTAAATTGTTTCAAAATTTCAAAATTAATAGTTTTAACATTTTTTTACAAAATGTTTCATTGGTCGATAACTATATTAAAATAAATACTTATTGAGTTACAAGTATAATACATAGAGTAAGTATGTAGCACCTGTAGGTGTAATATGCATTATAAATATAAACCAATACGAGATTTACCGACCCGCGCTACATAATTAAAAATAAATAATACAAAATTTGATTTTAAGTCTAAAAATGTTTAACTTAATTTTTTTTAAATTACACCAAAATGTTAATTAAATCAAAAGTTATAGAGGTTAGATTTGTTCTATTCAATATATTAGCGTGCAATATCTATTATAAAAAATTATGACAAATTTTTTATTTGTGTATTTTGCGTAGAAAATTCATTAATAATAAACAGTAAAAATAAACAAAAAATGTATAACAATAAATTAATAAAAAAATTTTATGATGAAAGTTATAGATAATTTAATATTTTTTAATATTATGTAATAAAATAATTTTTAAATCAGTGAAACACATTCACTGATATTCGTAATATAATGGAATTTTTTTATTCTGGGAAGGACACATAAAAGACACTAATTTTGCAAAGACTAGTACTTTTGTAGCATTAGTCTTAATTTACTAATTTTAATACTTTTAGTACTTTAAAACTTTTTGTATTTTTTACTTAATTTTCGTAGACGGCAAAAGATTATTATCAGATGTCATAGGTCAATTTCGTTATTAACTAATATAATTCGCCATAAAGTATAACTAATAAAAACTCATCTTTTTTTTTTTTTGATTTTTAACATAAAAAAATATGGTTTATTGTTGTACAAGAATGCATAAATTATGTTTAACAAAAATATAGCGAATAGTTAATTGTATCAAAAGTTATAAATTTGTCAGTTATATCTATTCCAAAATACTTTTTTCAATACTTACGATAAAAATTTTAAAATATATCTACATCAAAATGGTATATTTTTTAATAATACTTTAAAACTTTCAACTGTTACACGGTTCATTATCTTTTACTTTTTAACAAAATGTATGGATTATAATATAAAACTCCTTAAAACTATAAAATCTGTATTTTTCAATGTAAATTTAAAAAAAAATGATATAATTTTCATTGATATACAGAGTGAATAATTAAAGTAAAACATTGATTTTCCCAGAAACTAGTGAATATTTTTAATTTTTGTTAAGGAAATGTTTGATTCAAACAACTATAATAATATATAGTTAAGTAATTTTTTTTTCATTTTTCAAGCAATAAAAAACCAAAACTTTAATTCTCTTAAATAAGAACCCCTATTTATGCACAGTAGGGACGTGGCATAGTTGGATCTAGTAAAGATTTAATCTGACAGCGATTAAAATTAAAAAACGCTTCGTTGCAAATCTGTAATGTTTAATTTTAAATAATTGGTGGATTATTCCAAAAGCAACATGATCACATATATCCTTATTTATATCCTGATTACAAGTTTTATGATTTATAAGTGTAATATATGAATAAATAATTATTATAGCAATTAAATATAGTATAAAATTAATATTTAATAATTTAGTATTGTACATTTTTACGGAAAATTTATACAAAATTATAAGGTAGTTATTACTTTTATGGCAAACGTATATAAAAGTTGAAAGTCTTGATGCAATACTATATTTTGTTATTTATAAATAAATATACTGGTCTACAAGGAATTTTCATCCGAGACCAAAATATATTTTCCTAAACCCATTATTGCGCCGATTTCAAATTTGCGAATAGAGTTTGGCATATGGCCTAAATAATAACAAAATCCTTCTAATTATTGTAACAAAAATTTATGTTTGATTATTAGGTTACGTATGAATAATCAATAAATATATTTTAATTAAGAATAAGTTCTACTTTCTATATGAATTTTTAAGTTTTAATCCACTCCTGTATAACGGGAAAATGGTCCGATCTAAAAAAAAAAGTATGTCGAATAAAAAAGTATACCTCTTTCATTTAAATAGTATTTATCAAAAAAAATTTTATGATCCATATATTTTTCAAAAAGTTATAACATTTTAAAGTTAAAAATGTAAAATATAAAATCGAGAATTTTAACACAAAAATAGCATACGGTAGCCATTTTCACCGTGAAGACAAAATTAAGTCCGAAATTTTTTTTTTTTTTCTAAATAAAGTATATTACATAAGCTTTAATTTAAGATATATATACTAGTATCAGAAATTCCGGAACACTTTCAAAAGTTAAGTTAAAAAATTTAATTTTTTGTGAAAAAGTTGTCATTTTAAATCCCCTTCTATGGGCAGATAAACGGTCAGATTTATAAAAAACATTTACAAAATGATAGGTAAATATCTCATGTATCTATAAAAAAAAATTGTATTGATCTATACATTTTTCAAAAAGTTATAGCGCATGCTGAAAGAGCGCATGCTGCTGTTATTATGCTAATAACCTCACCTTCACCCTATATTTTCAAATATTTATAACTTTCGAAATAATGTGTCAAATATTGTTATTGACCAGTCATTTTCTTAATTAAATAATTTTATATTTTATAAGCTAGCTAAATATATATGTTGTCATTTAAAAATGATTAAGTTGACGCCCTTATTGACGCATAAGGGATGAATTAAAAAATACTCATCAATTAATAAATCAAAAAATATATAAAATTTTAAAAATACCAAAAAAATATAGATAACCATTATTTTAAAGGAAATAGTGGTTAATATTGAAAAAATTGTCTTGTATATACAAAATGTTATATAAAAATATTTTAGGGCAAGTTTTATATAATTTAATATTATTCTTTAATTTTATATCAAAAATTATTATTATTAGTGTTTTGTTTGGTGAAAAATAAGGAAACTTTTTATTACTCCCTCAAAGAGAAAAAATTGTATCTTCACCATGTAATCAGTTATACTAACGGGATCTATACCCTTAGTTGTGTAAAATAATTTATAAAGACTTATTTTTAAGCTCCAGTTTAAGTTAACAAAAACAAGTTTGTACTTGTCACAAACATAGTTTTGTTATATCATCATTATCATCATTTCTTTAGTTTTTATTACAACTATTTTGGAACAGGATTTTTACACCATGATGAACATCATTATGGCTCAGAGAACCAGTAAGTGGGGGCAGGGTGTGTATCACTGTTAGTTTCCTTATGCTGAATATAAGCTCTAAGGCAGTAACTTAATAATCCACTGCACCACATCACGTAATATAAAAGTTCTTTAAATACTCTTGCTACGGTTTTTATAATTTATAAATATTAATTTAATAAATAATAATAATTTCTATGAATATATATGTGAAAACTATTAGCCAGCTTATTTTATATTCATTATTTACTTTACATTTTTTAAAACTGTATATTTGTTAATGCATAAAAAATTGTTTAAATACTTACAATTTGGCCTTTCCTTTTTTAAATTTTTTAAAACTACCACCACTTTTAGAAGAATAAAAAGGCTTTCTTTTCCTTCCTTCACGTTGATTTGTTACACCTGTATTCATATCATCAAAATATGGACAATCAACACTTGTTTTAAGCCAATTATCTTCACCTTCGATATCATCAACAAGTTCATTTTCTTCACAAGTTAACACTAAAAGACAATTTTATAATTTATCAATCAATTTATTTTATTTTCAATAGTGTTATGTTAGTAAGTTAATTGGAGATTATTAAAAATTTAATACAACTTTTTTAATTTGCAATTCAAAATGATAAAATTAAAATTATTTATAAATTATAACTTAATTATTGAACAAAACACATAAAACTCACTCTTCATTAGTAGTAAACAATAATATTAAATAAGTGAAATAATTAGATATTTATTTACTACTGTAATCAAATTAAAAGGTGAATTTTTAATTTAAACTTCTCAGGTCTTTTAAATTTGTAAAATTTTTTCTGTAAGTTTTAGTACAGTTAGTGACATTTGTATCAAATTTCATGTTAAAATATTCATTCATATTAGAGATACACTTCGTTTTGTGAGGTGCTAAAAGTGAATTTTGCGATTTTTATTATGTTTAAACAAAGAAATTACATTAAATTTTGTATGCTGAATGTTTGGCTGCAAAAATATTGAAGATGTTACAGAAAGACTTTAAGGATCAGATTCTCTCTTCAAAAAATGTTTACAAGAGGTACAACGAGTTCAAGGTCAGTGGCAAGAATGTTGTATAAAATTGGGCATAACATAGCCTAATGAACATCACATCATGCTAGTCAAAAAAAAGATGCTTGGAAATCATAGATTGACTATTAGAGACATTGCTAATAGTGTGGGCATATCATTTGGATTGGTGCAAGCCATTTTAAGTAATGAATTAAGCTTGAGAAGAGTCAAATCTCAAATGGTTCCAAAAACACTCAAGTTTTTCGAAAAAAACTGTCTTACTATCATTTGAGGAACAATGCTTTTTTAACTATCAAGAATTAATAAAATGTATCATAACTGGTGATGAGACTTAAATCTATGCTTATAACCACAAAACAACTTATCAATCAAGCAAATGTTGTGCCATAAGCGAGCTGAAACCGAAAAAAACACGTCAAAGTCTTTTAAAATCAAGATCATATAAGTTTTTTCAATTATCGTAGTGTGGAGCATTTTAAATTCCTTTCACCAGCCAAACTGTTGACAATGAATATTATTTAAGTGTTATATGTCGTTTGCGTGAAACTATTCACAAATATTGGCCGAAGTTATGGCAAAGCAATTCTTAGTTATGCATCATCCTAAATAACACTAGTTATTCATTAATATTTCACCAAAAATTTAATAAATAACATTCCCTAACCTGCTTATTCACTTGATTTAGCTCCTTGTGACTTCTGGTTAATCAGCAAATTCAAGAAATCACTCAGGGGAGACTGTTAAAAAGTTTATCTTTCAATTTGATCTCAGTAGTATTTTAATATTAAAACCATTAGGATATTTTTCATAAATTTAATTCACAATTTTATAATTTTTATTTTTCTAGGAACAACTATTTTAAAAATATCAAAAGTTATTCTCATTTTTATACAAAGGCAGAATGTAGAATATGACCGTGAAAAGACTAGTAATAAAAAAAAAAAAAAACAGGTCTTAATAACTTCCAAAATATAGGTCCAAAAGTTGTCTTAAAAATTAAGAAAATGACCAGCTGATTATATAATAGCTAATTATTAGCTATTTTGTATTTTATGAATTAATTATACATATATTGGCCGACCCCAAGTAGTTGAGATTAAGGGGAGGAAGAAGAAGAATTATGTATGTATGTTGTCATTAAAAAAAATTAAGTTGACACCCTTTTTAAATTATAAAAGATAATTCTAAAAATTCATTATTAGCTAATAAACTGAAAAAAACCCAGCACAGAGGGGTTCCGGCACAGGTGACGAGGCATAGTTGGATCAAGTATTATGATATCTGACAGTGATTAAAATCACTATCAAAATAAAAGCTTCGATGCAAATCTTTAGATAGTGTTTATTTTAAAAAAATTGGTGTATTATTCCAAAAGCTACATGATCTGCTAGTTGCTTATTAATATCTTGATTAAGATAAAGTATGTAGAATGAAAAAGGGATTATTAAAAAATATTATTTCTCATAAAAAAATTGTGTTGATCCATACACTTTTCAATAAGTTATAGCATTATAAAGTTAAAAATTAAAAAAATAAAATCAAGAATTTTCACACGTAAATAGCATTCGGTAGCCATTTTCACCGTGAAGACAAAATAAAGTTCGTAATTTTTTTTTTTTCTAAATAAAGTATATTACATAAGCTTTAATTTAAGATATATATACAAGTATCAGAAATTCCGGAACACTTTAAAAATGTAAGTTGAAAAAGTTCTACTTTCTCTATGCATTTTTATGTTTTGAACCTCCCCTGTATTAAGGGAAATGGTCCGATTTAAAAAACAAATAAGTCGAATTAAAGAAGTATATAAATATTATTTCTCATAAAAAAATTGTATTGATCCATATGTTTTTCAAAGATTTATAGCGTTATAAAGTTAAAAATGTGAAAAAGAATTTTTTTACAAAAATCGTATTTTTTTTATTAACTTTGATGACTGTTTTCATCATGAAAACAAAATAAAGTCCGAAATTTTTTTTTTTTATATTAAAGTATATTACATAAGCTTTAATTTAAGATATATATAAAAGTGTCAGTATTTCTTGAACACTTTCAAAAGTTAAGTTGAAAAAGTTAATTTTTTGTGAAAAAGTTGTCATTTTGATTCCCCCTCTGTGGGCTGGTAAAGAGTTAAATTTATGAAAATAATATACCATATGATAGGTAAATATCTCATGTATCTATAAAAAAAAATTATATTGATATGTTCGTTTTTAAAAAAGTTATGGCAGTTTTAAGAAAAAAAATTTCAAAAATTAGCGATTTTTAAATTTGTAATTTTTTTGAAGGTTTGCCCCATTTACGGGGAATGAGGGAAATTTTTCAATTTTTGAGGGTAATGTCTTCGACTAGATACGATTTGTGATCTTTTGACGTATCGTTGAAAGAAATCCGTTCAGTGAGAGCTGAGAAAAAGTGGTAACAGACACAAAAAAAAACACAGATCATAGTAAATCCAANAGGGGAAAAAAAAAAAAAAAAAAAAAAAAAAAAAACACAGTAAAACCAATACCTTTTCAGCTTCGCATCGAAGCTAAAATACATGTAATTAAATACAATTTTTTAAAAAAAGATTGTATTTATTTTGCAAGTAATGGAGTAATTTATGAATAGTAGTTTATGATAGGTTATATAATCATAACTCTTACAGAATAATCTAATTAACTAGTATTATGGAATTCAGACAAAGAACTATTGATAATGATAAAAATATTATTTACCAAATTTATTAGCTGCTGCTTCTTGTGTTATTTCTAATAGTTGTCGGCCATATTTTTCAAAGTTTGCTTTGGTTACACCAACAATTTTTAACATTTGTTCTTCAGTTTCTGGTAAAATTCGTGACATTTCTAAAATGGCCTTTAAAGAAATACATAAATAGCATGTTATATAGAGAATATTTAACACATGTAAAATCTTGTAGTGTTCCAATAATTTTCAACAAAATTTTAAAACAATAAGGAAGAACAAGAAGGAGAAATTAAAAAAATTATTTTTAAAAATTATATTCTTTAATTATGAGTATTATTGTATAAGCTTAAATCTATATCTTACTTCTATGTTCATAACAGAATTAGTATTTATGTTCAGAGAAGCTGCAATTCCACGACATACATCCATAAGATTTTCATAACATCTTTCTTCAATTTCTTTAATAGCAGGATTAGTAGGAGTATTATTTATTTTTAAAGCAGTTTCTAGATTTAGTATTTTCTTTGCAGAGCATGCCAACTTTAGCTGAAATAAATATAGATAAATAATGAGTAATTGAATAACAAAAGATTCAACTTTACTTTCACATTTCCTCTTAATAGTTTTTCTGCTTCTGGACCAACTCTAACAAAAGCATTAATAATATCTGTTTTAGAAGCAACCATTTCTTCTCTTAAGTACCCTTCTAGTACTAATTTATGCATTAAACGTTCAACATCATACCTTACCCAATTTTTTCCACGGCCATGTAACTTTAATTTTTCATGGCCTATAAATCATTATAAATTATTTTAATAAAGAAGCTTATTTCAATAATAATGATAAAATAAACTATAGTAAGCTGATATACAGAAATAAGCATATATTGTTATATTTAAGAATTAATGTTTTTACACTTATTTTATTCCCTTAAATAAAAAAAAAATTTAAAGCCGTGTAAGTGGTTGAAATAACTTGCTATAATATATATAAATATGAAATAATAATATATATATATAATATATAATAAATAATAAAAATAATATATATAAATATGAATTTATACCCACTCTAACAACTTATCTGTTCTAAGTATTTAATACTTATCAAAATAAATTAAAAAAATTTTTAAGAAAAACTTTAGATATGAAATTTGAGTACAGAATCTAAAAGAATTTAGAAATAAAAAAGTATTATTATTCAGAAAGTAGGAAAAAGAGTTCTTATAGTTTATAATAATTAGACTAAATTTTTGAACACCTCATCTATTTTATTATTGAAAATAAGATAAAATAAAGTATTAATAATGTAGTTTGTCAGTAAACAGTATTTAAAATAAAAATTAATTACAAATATATTAAAATCAAAATTTTCAAATCACCGATTAAAACATTTTATCTTATCCTGTATATGTATATGAAGAAAAAAATTTAGTAAAACTAATAAAAAAACATTTGTTTTAAGGTAGTTGATATTTTATTCATTAAATATATCATAAAATATTTTTTTACCGTTAGATTTTATTTTTTGAAGATTACTTCCTCGAAATATATCAATAATATGAAGAATTGTGTAATTATTTTGCCAACTATTCGTACTAGGACTACAAATTTCTTTGACAGTTTTAATTATTTCAATACTATCATTGGTTACATCAATAACATTGAGATCTGCCTAATTAATATAAAATTATTTAAAAAATACTTGAGTTAAATTTTATCAATAAATAATTAAGTAATACAGTAGTGAACAATAACTTCTTTAATTGTACCATGGGAAAAATTATAATTTAATAAAGATTAATTAACACCTATAAAAGATTAAAACAACTTTCTCTCATTTAACCTCCTCTCATCACACTATTGAAATAATACATATTAAAATAAAAATTAAAAAGAACAACTATCAGGTTAGTATTTTTTTCTTCTAAATTAATCTGATCAAATCCAAAAGTAATTGACAATAATTTACTTTTTTAGAAATATAATAAAAGACATGAATCCATTAAAAATCTTACCCAGAAGAATTACAAACATCATTTTTGGTATCAGTTTCATTAAAATAAAAAATAGTATTATAAATAAATTAAAAATTAAAAGTATTCACTTTTACAGATTTAAACTAAGAAATATTTTGAAATATTAATACAAATTAAATCTTTTAATTTAACATCTCAATTAAAAAGTTTTTAAGAAAAAGTATACAAATCAAGACTTTTCAAATTTTGTTAATATTTATCCTTTTTATTTGTAACATTTATTTATTTATAATAGTATAATCATATGATGATTTATTGATAGTTTATTCATATAATAGTTTAAGTATTTTTACTGTATTTAAAGAGAGATAAAATACATCTTTTTTTTTTTTGTAAATATTATAGAAAAAATTAATTAATATAAATATAGAAGGCTACTCACCATTGAACATTTTGCTAATAAATATTAAAATGTATTTTAATTTAAAAACCATTAATACATTCTTAAAATTTATAATGTTGTAATAAATATTATAAATTACAAATATGCTTACTTTAGTTTGACAATTATCACAAGCCGTTTCATGATTGGCTGTGCACAAATCACTATTAAAATGTTCTCCAAAATAATTGAGCTGTAAACTTCTCCTACAATCAGTTTTATTCTCACAGTAGGCTACTATTCGAAAAAGATTTTGTACATGGATTTTTTTTGATTCACGTGTTCCATTTTCATCAACTGAACATACAACCATAATTGAAACAAAATAAACATATTAATAAATTTTAATATTTTTACTTTCAATTAATTTTCGAATTCGATGCATATCACTAAAATTATAAAATAAAAAACAATGAGATATCTTTCCATCACGTCCAGCTCTTCCAGACTCTTGATAATAACCTTCAATAGACTTTGGCAAAGAATAATGAAAAACATAACGAACATCAGGTTTATCAATACCCATTCCAAAAGCAATTGTAGCACAAACTACCTAAATAATTTAAATAATTTTTCAACTAACTAATGTAATTAATCTTGAATAACTATTTAATATCTAATTAATTTTAACCATTATTATATTTTTTGGTTGTAATAACAAGTATATATTGATACCAAAATGACTTGTTTACAAGTATTTATTTAAATATTACATACTAGATATATACTAGACTAATATAATTATAGTTTCAAAGTATGGAAGTATTTTAAAAAAATTGTACGATTAGAAATAAAAATAATTTATTATACTATCCACAAAAATATTCTTTGATCTATATCTATAAATTTTACTGTAGACAATCACTTTTATTATTTTTTAAATTTATTGTTTGATAATATTGTTACTCTATCCTTTATCTGTTCATTGTTCTATTTTACACCTTAAATAGACAGCTTTTGAAATGTCTTAGCCAAGATTAAGTAAAAAAATCTTTAGAATATTCTTACTTTAAAAATTAAAAAAATCAATATACTATCAATTATACTATAGTAATTTAATATACTATTTACATTAACTTTATTGGTGATCCATTTTAATTGCACATCATTACGATTATCATCGGTTAAGCCGGCATGATAGCTTATAGCCTTGATTCCTTCATTACACATAAAATCAGCTGTATAATCACAGTCTTTTCTACTGAAACAGTAAATTATGCCAGATTGATTTGCATAATTCTCTTTAATGAGTTTAGCTATGTCAACTAATGCAGATTTTCCTTTTTTTGGAAGCACCTTGTATAATAGATTAGGTCTATTAAAACTTGATAAAAATCTAAAATTATTTAAAATTATTATTAAATATTTTTTAAAGGGTCATCTTTTAAAATAATCATTACAGTTTTGTTCCATTAATTTGTAATTGATGTAAAATATCTTCACGCACTCTAGGTGTAGCAGTTGCAGTAAGGGCCATAATAGGAACTGAAGGGTAGTTCATACGGAACTCACCTAACCGCTTATAATCAGGGCTGAAAAAACAACCAAATTTCTATAAATGACTCATATAGTTTAAGAGAAGCACATTGAACTTTAATACACAGATACCCAAAATTTGTTTTATTACCTCAATATAAATAAGATTTTTAATTTCCTCTTACACAAAAATTATATTTCTTAGTTTAAAAAAATTTAATAAAATGCTAACCGAAAATCATGTCCCCAATGAGAAACACAATGTGCTTCATCAATAATTAGACGGGCAATTTGACCACGGGCATTTAAATTATCAAGAACTTGCATCATTTTATGACTGCTTGCTAATTTTTCTGGCGTCAAATACAACATTTTGAATCCTTAAAAAGAAATTCTTTTAAAAGTATACATTAATCATTATATAATGATCTAAGATATATTTAATTTACATTTAAAACACAATAATGAGTGAATATAATTACAAAAATTCAAAATACAGTTTCTTAATACACAATTTTAACTTTAAAATAGTCCAGTAAGTATTCGTTAAAGAAAATAAAGCGAAATGAAATAAGATTTAGTTTCAACAATTTTATGTTATACACACTACATAAAATTTATTTATAAAAATCATTGAAAATTTTCCATCAACTCATTTACCTTTCATCATGTTTCATGCAATGTATTCAAGTTTAATAAAATAAAATACCTATATAGTAAATTTAAAAAATAATATCTCTAAATTAAATTATCAGACAAACAAATTTTTCTTCAATGATTTTATTTTATAAAACATAATTAAAGAAAAAAATCAAATTTAATCTAACATTTTATTACAAAAAGGGTGGGTAGGTGGTTAAACCCTAAAATATATTACGATGCTTGAGTTTTTAGTCATGATGACACTAGACACTATTTACCTGGTTCTGTCATACATAGTTTAGTTAAAATTTGATTTTCTTCATCAGCCTTTACATTGCCTAATAAATGAGCTGCTGGGATCTAATGAAAGAGTAAAATACATGTAAGATAAAGAAATATTATTTTCAACTGTAAATAAGAATAAATATGTTATTTACATCCAATGATTTCAATTTTTCTGTTTGATCAATGATTAACGATTTTAATGGTGATATAACAATAGTGACTCCTTTAGAAATGACTGCAGGTAATTGATAGCATAAAGACTTACCACCCCCAGTAGGCATTAACACAAAACAATCATGACCTAGTAAAGCAGCATTTATAGCTTCCAACTGATTTGGACGAAAATCACGCAAACCAAATGTTGATCTGAACACCTAAAAAAAACATTTTAATTGGACCAACAGTTTTATAATTCTGAGAGTAAGCTAAACAATATATTTATAATTTATTTATTAATAGCTGTAAATTTACCAAAAAATGATTTTCTTGTGGAAATTTATGGGAGTTAAAGTTAGTTAAAAAGGTAAAAGTCAATTTGTTGGTAATAATATTTTTACTTAAAATAAATATTAAAATTATGAATAAAATTTATTTATTCACTTTCTTTATTATTAGTAATAATAATAGATGGTAGCATAATTTTACTCAATCAATCTCTTTTTAGGTAAAAGAGGTCATATAACTTAGATTTGAGTAACAGGCAACAATGATACCTTTTCAATAAATTAAAAAAAACATAGGTATAAAATTAAATAATTGACATGGAAATAGCATATATAGAAAATTTTCAATTATTGTTTTCAAAAACTAAACAGTAAATACCGTAAATAATTCTCTAGAATGTGGGTAATTAGTTTTACTGAACTCTCCAACAGACACTGGTATTGAGGAAGTCTTCATTGAATTATTTTCTTTGGCAACGTTTTGATTTGGTAATTTATTAAAATTTGAAGTACCTAATGGCAAATATTCTTCTCTTGAATATTGTTCATATTTTTTAGGACTTGTCAGTGAAAGTGATTCAAAGTTGTTGTCATTTACAATAGAGTTAATTTGATTAACATTTAACCTTTCTCGAGACAATATAGTACTTGTTTGAAAATCAGAATGATTATTAAACCATTTTTTGTTAGCACTACCAAAACTTGTTGATAGATAACAATTGGAGTTAGGAGTATTTGTTTCAGTGTTAATAGTACTATTTGACAGACAATTTGTATTTATATTTGTAAGATTTGTTAAGTTACAATCATTTAAATTGTTAGAATAATGATTTTTTTGCTTCAAATTATTAGTTGATCCAAAAAATAGATTTGATGATCCTTGATGATTTGTTAACCTTTTATTTCCAAGCTGAATTTTATTTTTCAATTTCTGTCTTGTTCTCTTTAGCTCCAACAATGTTGATAAATTCTCAAGGCCTGGTAGAGTACTTATGAAATTTTCTGGAATATTTGTAAATAAATTAAAAATATGATCCAACATATTATATTCTAAATTTTTTAGGCCATTTACATGATTTTCTACATCTTCTATTGGTATCTAAAACAATAACAATTAAATTAATATTAATACAGTACAACATAAATAAAAATTAATATACAATATCATTACTCTGATTAACAATACAAAAAACTTCACTTACCTCAGAAATTGTTTCATTTAAAAGATGGTCATTACTTATGCATCTAAGCCATTTTTCTATATTATTTGTTGAATCTTCTAAAATTTTATACAATACAGTTATAGAAAAATCAAATATAAGTTCTATTTTAAAGAACCATTAATGAAATTGATTTTTTCTTAGGTTAGTAACAATCAATTTCTACATTATTTTCTATTATTTCTACATTTTATTTTTTTCTCATATTACGTATAACCACCCCACCCCTTAATATTTTTAATCAACTATAATTTGGTTAGCCTTGGAATTTATTTATAAGGTTTCAAAAAACTAGAATCCTAAATAACTTCTTATTTTAATTGAATTGATCTAAAATAAAAACTATTCTTTTAATATAAAATAACTTTTTCTACAAAAAATTTGTATAATATACTAATTTTAAGATTTATTCACTACAGCTTTAGTAGTAGAATAATTAAATATATTTAGTAATGGTAAACCATTTTTAAGTAGTGGAGTTGTCAGGAAAAAATGTTCATACCGTTTAAAGAATTTGGTGACTTTTCATTATTTAGTATTGAGTTTGAAGGTGATAAAACAGAAAGAGGTAGTTTATTTATTGAATCTTCTAATAAATTCTTTTTTAAATGTCCGTTGAATAATGATGGACTATTAGATTCCTCAAAATGATCAACATTTGTTGGCAAAGATATAGACTAAAAACAAAAATAGTATTAGCCACAAAAACAGAATCCTATAACATGTATTACAAAAATCATTTTTATATTGCCAAATAATATTATTAAAATACTTATTAATTATAACTATTATAACATAATATTTATTCTACTAACATTATGAAAAGAATTAGATGATTTTTCTGGGCTAAATATTATATCATCATCATCATCGTTTATATTAATAAAATCTTTAATGGTGTTCTCATTGATTGGATTGCTAGTTATAGGAACTTTCACAATATTTGGCAAATCTAAAACAATATATATATAAATATAAATTTACAATAAAATCTAAGACATGATGGAGTAAAAAATTAAAAATTATTAGGTGTTTAAAGTTTAATTAAAATTTATCCACATATCCATTCCATATTCAGGGGAATTATAGGCAAGTGCCTAAAGCAGCAAATTTTGAGAGGTGCCATTTTTTATATTAATTTTAATAATTACATATTGGAGATGGTTTTTTTCATTATGATGTAAATAAAATGAGGTTGGGGTGTAGGGGTATTCCCCCCTACACCCCAACAGACACCCCAGGGACAGCAAATTTTTAGATACCAACACATACAAATTATATATATACGACTCTGTATATATTTACACCATATTTTACCTTATATTAATAAATATTAATAATATTTATAATAATATCAAATAATTTTTCAAAAAATAAACTACTTTATTATAATTATATTTTTTCAGAAGCTTGGAATTTAAAACAATTTATTTTCATATCATGAGAAATTAAATTGATTTACAGTAAAATAATCAACATTAAAATATGCATAATAATGACATTCTAAATATGATTATGAATGCATCAAAGATAAAAAAAATTAAATTTTAGTATAATGAATTCATATTAGTAAACAATAAAAAAAAAAATACTTATAAATATAAAAAATAAAATTTAATATATTTACTTTTTCCTGTTGCATTTCTAATAGTATCCAAAGAATTTTCTTCATCACTATCCAACAAACTTATAACTGATGACTTAGGTTTAATACTAAAAAAAAAAAAAAAAAAGTAAGATAATATTATTACTATACTACAAAATTATAATGATATTTTTTGAAATTGATTTTTTTTAATTAAAAATATTTATCCAAATGAATTAACTATATAGAGTAATCTGTTTATTACAACCCACTCAATTATTAATAAATTGAAGAACTAGTAAAAAATTATGGGACACTTTAACTTTAAAAAATCAGAATATACTTAGCTATATAATATATAAAAAATAAATTGGATTAGCATATCAATTGTATACGATGTCAGCAATAGGTTTTGTAGGGTCCTAGAAAATACTTCATAATAACTAATGGTTATATATAATATTTTAGTATAAAGATATTTTTTAAGTTTATAGGTATAGGTATATATATAATAACACTTTTATTTTAGTTTTAAAAATTTACTAGCAATTACTTACCTAATAGGTTTACCTTAACAAAATTTAATACTATTTGATATTCACTATCATTTTACAATCACAATTTATAAATATAATGAGGTATAATTTTAAATACCGGTCAAAGTGTTTCATGGTATTAAGATTTTAATTAATAACTAATATGTCACGTTTATTATCCTCTAGCACAATCATTGATTGAATGTGTAAAAAAAAGTAAATAAATGTAGTAATTGATACATATAATAATTGTAACCACAAAAAAACAAATTCAGTGTATCACAAATTTAATAACTTACATTAGACTTCTTAAAAGATTAAGTTATGCAACTAACTTATTTAAGTATATGAGTTACATATACACCGACTCTCAAGTCTGTTAGTATACCTTAAATATGTTTGTATTAGTTTGTAAATTCATTCATTAAAGATATAACGAATTACTAACTTACTTATGTGTATACGAAGATTCATTTTTAGATCCAAGACGCTTAAGAACAGCACTTGGCTTTTTTAAAAAAAAATCCATAAATTAAAATAATAATGATTTTTTTTAAATAAAATTTATTTCATCTTAATGTCGATAGCAATTAGATTAAGAAGAGGTTTTATAAATTATTATTTTAAAATAATTGAAAATCGTATCTAAAAATTATTTTGATTTTTGTACATAATTATTCATTAATAATCTAACAAAGATTCAATTAAACTTTTATTATCAAGTTTGTCATTTGGCGCCAAAATGTTGATAACTAGCAACAAAAAATTTAACATTTGGTAATAAATGGATGATTGATTTGTTATCACAAACTAAGATAAAATGGAGTCCAATCCATTTTTTTCAATTTAAAATCATAAATTTATTGAACACATTTAAATATAAATTGATCCAACTTTACCTGAACAAAAATAGTTACCCTTAATCCTTTATTTAAAAATTCTTTGTTACTTTTTAATTTTTTCCATGAAGAGAAGTTTTCAATCATTGCAATTTAAGGGTTTTAAGTTTTGATTGACTAATTTTAAGAAATGTAATTTTCTATTTTGTTACAAAAGCAAGTTGATTTGACTAATTCTTTCACACCATGTTTGAAAAGATTAACTGATTAGTTGAAATAACGTGAGCTTGTCAATAAACATATTATATGATACAGTAAATGTTCTTTTGTAGTTGATGGACTTCTTGATATAGCAAGATGTTTATATACATTTATTACCTTATAAGAGTGTCAATTTTCTTATTCAAATAGCAATATACATAATTACTTAGCTTATCAAATAAAAAAAATTATATAATTAAGAAAATGACTTCAATAAAAATTTTTGAAATAGTATTTCAGAAGTTATTAACATTTTTATACATAGGCAGGAGGAAAAGTAAGACCGAGAAATATCTAATGATTAAAATAACAGCACTTTCTTAATTGCAAAAAGATAATAACGATAAAATATAAAGAAATTATAATAAAATAAATAATAAAAATTCCACAATTTTGGGTCCCTTTAAAGTGAATGAAACAAAATTTAAAAATGTATATATATCTTAACTGTGAGTAATGAATTTTCCATTATACTTTATATAAACATTATTTTCAAGTTTAGAAACACTTAAATATTTTAATTAACATGTTTTTTTTTATTGTAATAAATTGTGCAATCAGTAATTACAGAGTAATCTAGTAGTTTATAGAACGACTCTATTACTTGCAAAATGAATACAATATTGTATTTCTTTTAGTTACATATATTTATAATAATAAAAATATTAAATACGGAACTCACCTACAACTACAACTATAAAATGTTAATAACTTCCGAAATACAGGTCTAAAAGTTGTTATCGACTTATGTTATTTTTTTTAATTAGCTCATTTTCTATTTTGGGCTTCCTTTACCTCTTATTTCCCTCAACATTCGTTTCCGTGATTGTTCTTTCAGCTTCCGATTCCTCTCTCTTCATAACATGGACATACCATCTAAGCCTGTTTCCTCTCATCTTTTCACAATTGATGCTATACCTATACTCTCTTTTATATGTACGTTCCTTATCCTGTCTTCTCTAGTCACTCCACTCATCGTTCTAAACATTTTCATCTCTGCTACAGTCAATCTCTATTCTATTCTCTTGTCAACCACCCAACACCCTGAGCCATACATCACAACTGGTTTTACTATAATTTTATGGAACTTGCCTTCCAGCCTCATTGGAATTCTCTTATCGTATAACACACCAGACGCTTCTCTCCACTTCATCCATCGCACATAATTACGTGTCTTACATCCTCGTCAATATTACCGTTTTTTTGCACAACTGATTTTAAATAAGAATTAAATTTTTACTATTTAATGAAATTTAATTCCACAAAACATATTATTAAAGTTATAATTAATTAAATGTTCACTTTTTAATAGAAACATATTATAATTATTATTATATATATATTTAATAAATAAAAATAATAATAAATTAATTAAATTAATTTTATTATTTAGTATTCCTATGAAATAATTGAAGTTTTAACTAAAAATATCATATTATGTTGTTAGCTAATACAATATATATTATATAATTAATTGGTATCTAGTTTGTTATTTAATTAGATTTAATATTTAGCTCCTGCACAAAAATGTACTTCTTCTTCTTCACACGCCCACAGCAGCTGTCTTCAAATCGCATTCAATATCATCCCTCCATCTCTTTTTTGATCTTCCTCTACCTCTTCTTCCTTCAACATTCATTTCTATAACTGTTCTCACAGCTTCCGATTCCTCTCTCTTCATAACATGGCCATACCATCTAAGCTTGTTTTCTCTCATCTTATCCACGATTGACGCTATACTAACCTATACTCCCTCTTATATGCTCGTTCCTTATTCTATCTTTTCTAGTCACTCCATTCATCCATCTAAGCATTCTCATCTCTGCTACACTCATTCTCTGTTCTACTTTCTTATCAACCGACCAACACTATAAACCATACATTATAGCTGGCCTCACTACAGTCTTGTAGAATTTACCTTTCAGCCTTATTGGAATTCTTTTATCGCATAAGACGACAGACGCTTCTCTCCACTTCAACCAATGCACAAAAGTTACATTTCTGTAACTAGATATGTTAGATATAAGTTGAGATATTATTTCATAACAAATATCAATATCGATCCATCACCAGAGAGAAAGTTACAGGCTAGTGGTTGTAACTATACTGTCGGCTTAGCTTGTTTACCGTATGTTTTTATATCAATTTATAACATCAATGTTGTTTATCTGTTGTTTTTGTTGTGTTGTTGACAACTGTCAGTTTGTGTGTTTACATCCGGTTTTTGTTTTTGTTGTTGTATGCAATATTCTTGGCATTTAACTCTTTTTTTTCTACACTGGAAATTTTCTTTTATGTTAATTTAATATTAATTGTAGTATTTGACACATTGAGTTATTTTCTTTGTTGTTTGTTGATTTTCTTTATGACTGGTGTATGATAGGTAACCAAGTCTTGCTAATATTCCATTTATCTTCTCTATTGTAATTTTCTAGACATTTTTCGATGTCAAGAATGCCATAAACAATAACAATAACAATAACAAAAACAACAGATAAACAACATCGATGTTATCAGTTATTAACTGACATAAAAATATACAGTAAACAAACTAAATAATAAGTTAAAAGAAAGACATTTCTTTATCACCCACTCTTTCCAAAAACTGATGGGCTGAAGTCACCACAGCTCCCATAATAACTACGCTAATTATCTTAAGTCTATAATATAGTCTTTTTTTTAATATTATTAAATGTACTCCAACTTAAGATTTTCTTTTTTTTACGGTCATCAGTGTGGTCACCTAGAAAATAGTGGTTTACAGCTAACACTCTCCACAATCAGTAATCAGTTGTCGGTCGTTGGCTGTGATAGTGTTTACCCGCGAATAGTCTCATCTAAAGTTTTGTTATGATTTGTTAATGTCAAGAGTTAATTATTGAAAGTTGTTTACTTAGAAATAAACTATGTAATTGTAACTAGTTGGATCTTTAATATAAAATTTAGTCTAAAAGTTTAATTAAGAGGAAAAATAATAGTTAACAGAAACATAATTCTTATACGAGAGGACGGAAACCTGTATAACTCAGCGGTATGGAATCGAACCTCAATATCTGCATATCGAATCACAACGGGTTACTGATAGATCAATACAGGCCGCCGAATCAATATTATAGACTAAATTTATTAAATAACTAAGTTTTATTGCACAATTTATATTATAAAAAATTATTTTTTTTAAGAAGAACAAAATATTAAGCGCATATTTTATTGTTTTTTATGGCACATACTTGCATTATATTTGGCTTTTGTTAAGTGCATATAATTCCGTTTTTTAATTATAATTAATTACATAATATGTAGAGTGATTCGTTCCTTCAAGAATAAAAAAACTTTAATTTTCTTTGTTGGCGGAATCCTTAATTTAAGTTTGTTAATAAAAAAAAAATTTTCAAATGATTTTATTCTAAATTTTTTTTCTTATCCGATTAATGATTTTTTTTTTTAAATTGTTTAAAGATTTGAATTTCAAATACAAATTAATCGTTAGTTTGATTTTCACAATTCTGGAGGCAACAATAATCTTTTTCAATAGGTCATAAGTTATTTCTGTGGTCGTTAACAAGAAAATTTTCCACATAGGCCGCTCAACAACGTACAATAGTAAAATCTTGTTTTAATATAATATTAAAACAATATCTATTAACAGATATGAATTATTAAAGATAATATTTCTATGCGGTGGATAATATCCAGTGTAACCTTTGACAATTAACCACTAATGTATGCTAAACAGCAAATTATCAATAGAAAATTGGTGAAAACTCACTATTCTTAAACAACTAATAACAGAAGAATGGTTCATCGGGTAAAAATAATGATAAGAATAAAATTGTTAACAATTTTTTTTTCTATCATACGTCAAATTAGAAATAATAGTTTCCATTAAAGAAAATTAAATATTAAGTAATTTATTCTTGAAGAAATAAAAAAAAATGAATAGAGCTGCGTCCTCTAAATCAAAGCTTTTTTAGCTTTGTTACTCTATCAAGATGTTATTATGAATTATTATATACGTATAAATGGCTTTTTTCTTATTTATCCTATTTAGAATATTTAATTTATTTTCGAATAGTACCCCGTTAAATTTAGTTACTTATAAATAATAACCAAGACTTAACATTTCATTTCCCAAATTTGTAAGATCAAAATGTTTTCCATATTAAATAATTTAATAATTTTTAAATTGAATATCTTTTATAAAGTTTCCAATATATAATACGTACAATGGGTGGCTCGTGGATGATGGTGGTAGGGATGCGACTTCAAATATAATACCACTAGTCATAGTTGTGAAATATTGTCAAATTAAATATAATAAAATAAAAACACAACACACATATTATTATTTTAAAGGTCTCAGAAGAAAATAGAAATGAAAATAATATAGCGATTATGCTATTATAGCAACCGATAATTATGAGCGTACACGTAGTCAATTCTAAAAATAAATTACTCAATACAGTAATATACTAATATTTTACCAATTGGACAACGCTGCCGGTCGTCCAAATCCCGTTTATAAGATTGCAGCTGAACCCAACCCGCGTGCACACAATTGCAGCGCCTCGCTTATAATATAC